TTAGCGAGTATTTAAGTTGAGGATTTTGGATTGTAAGAAAAAGTGTTTCTGCCTCTCGAGGTCACATTACTTAGTTTTGCCAGCTCTGATAAAGTTATAATTATTCCCCTTTACAGTTTAGGTGCCGTCATTTAAATTGCTATGTCCGTAAGAAGTTTTGAGCCAACTCAGATTAAAATTAAATTGTGTAGATTTTGACTACTAGGTTTAAGTTTTAAATTTGAATTTGACTGTTATTTTAAGTTACATCGGCACAAGTGATGGTTGAACTTGTCAAGCAAGAGATATGCGTTTATCTTTCAGTTCTGTTTTAATAAACAGGTTATTTGAAAACCTTTACAAGACTTTGTAATTAACTTCAGACACAGTTGTTATTCGCTCTGTGTCTCTTAAGAGTGCGGATCTCGTTTATGCTCCCAAAGTAAATCAAATTCTATAACTGTAATTAATGTGAAAAACGAAAAAAAAGTGTACACCATATTAATATACATAACTGAAAGATTACCTTACTTATGGATATTTGAATTATAGAATCTGCATTAACTACTGGATCGAGATGGATGTTAGATTAAACAAGTTAACCAATTCCAGTTTCTTCTTGGCAGTTGGCAGAAGACAATTGGATATCAACACTTACTGATAGTTTAGCAGCCATGCTAATTTACAGGAAGATATCAAGTTTCGGCTAAACATTCTTTTTTCTTTAGTTATGTATTTTTCCATAATACCTTACCTCTGTAACACTAAAAATGCAAATAATAATTTCTATAATCCCCGAACTACTAGTGAGTTTATCATAGAATAATAACACTTGCTTTCATTCAGCAAGAAGTATAAATCTGAGCGTTCGTCTCCGGTACTCAGAACGCGTACTAATATGAATGGACAAGAAAGACTTTGTGAAATATAGAAAATGCTCTTACGTTGCTTAAATGCATATTATGCTTGAAAAGTCATATTAATTGGAAAAATTACAAAAATTCAAAATAGGATGAAATTTTCTATACCGAATGCGTAGTTTGTTCGCACTGCCGTCGTAACGTCCTGTTCTTTTTGCTGTCAGAATATGTATTCTATGTTGAAAATTGTTTGGTGAATTATCACCAAGTCCTTTAAGGTACTACAATGTCAGTAAGGGAGTAAAGAACCCTCAATTAAATCAGATTAATTAAGGGTTCCTTAATTTAACAGATGGCACCAACTTGTGCTTACATAAAGCCAACACTTTTGGCTTAAATCAAAAGGTCATGAATAATTTAAAATTTAATGAAATATAGCATAACGGCTTCATATGTTAACTATCGCACAAACTGGCTCTGACTCGAAATTCGGCGTAAACAAGCTTAGTGGGAGAGTAACTCAATGCCACAGAATTCTAACCGCTACAGAATCAAAGTTAGCAAAGCGGCATTCAAGCAGGCAGAACACGCTTTGGTTTTCGCCTTCCCAACTTTCCCTTAAATACTTCCTTCCTTCTACCTAATTTGAATATCGAGCATGCTGTAAATATGCATTTCGGTAGGCAAACGAAATGAGAATTGAAAGGAAATGTATTTTAACTTAAAATAGCGAGTTAGAAAATGAAACAATACTCTACACCATTATACAAGAAATTCAGAACCACTAGAAATTGGAGACCACACATACATTCAAATTCCTACTCATAGACATTCAGATTTCTTATTGATTAATACTATATGATTATTTTAACCGGAACTTGGGAGTTTGCTCCAAAGTTTCACTCAAAGATATCAAATAAACAATTCACGCTGTTTTAAGTAATCCAGTATTCAGTAGATAACCACTCCCCCTTGAGGCTAAAAGACCGTGTTTGATAAAAAAATGTTCTGGTTCCTCTTATTTCGCGCTCTGGGTCAAAGTAGCATTTCCTTAACAACTTGCCCAGCAAGATTCAGAAAAGTGTTAATATTCCATTCGTGTTTCTATGTAATGGAAAACAAATAAATAAAGGGAAAGAAGTCAAAGTTCACTTAGTTCTCAGATGACATAGTTTTCAAAGCAATATTGTTCTTCCAAGGCTTGCATATATATATATATATTCTTAGAGTTATTTAGTATTTTGCACTTTGTAATTTTAACATGCAAAGATCAAAGAGAATTATAGGATGAAAGATGTAAATAAATAAAAAGATATGTAAAATTAAAGAGTTTATGAAAAGTTCCTAATTTTTCCTGTTTATCTGAACGCCTTATCATCGAAAGTGTTATTTATAACCTTCCCTTACTTTCTATATTCGTTAAAGGAAATAAATAAAATCTAAAAACTGTAGTGATCTCAATGTTTAACGAAGGCGTTAAAAACTATAGAACTCTACTACAATATCGAGAATCGATATTCGAGAATCTTAATAAGAATTTAACTATTTGATAATATTCTTTTTTTTTTTTGTGGTTAATTTAAGGAAATTATATCCAGCAATTAAAGATGAATATGTATATATATATATATATATATATATATATATATATATAATACAATATTATAATCTCATTCATATAAAGCAATTAAAATTTTAAATTATGCAAATTCAATTGTAAACAAAATAAAATTATGAATTATTGCTGCGAACTAATTTGCAATATCATTAAATTCAGAAAACATAAATAAATAAAGTGCAAACATGTTAATTCAAGAAAAAAGAATATAATCCTAAAATTTTTTATCTTGAAAACTTAAAATTTTTTTTAAAATAAATTTTAATTTGCATAAAGTGAATAATTATTGAGCAGACAGGAGACAGATCTTTTCAAGGGGAAGTTGCCCCCAGACCTAGCTCTTCAATTACCCAGTTTGTGTTTCGTCATCTATATAGGATGAAGAAATACACAAAACCAAAAGTAGTGACATGTTAAAATGAAAAATTTAATAGTTAAGGAATTTTCGAGAACAAATCCATTTAGAGAACAAATCCATTATATAAAAAAATTATTATAAATTAAAAGTACATAGCCAAAGTAATTTACAATCCGAAACCTATATAGGTACTTCTTCAACACAAATTATGCATGCAAACCAAAATAAACTAAAAAACTAATTCCAAACATCATAAAAATTGCAGGAATGATAAATGAAATATATAATATAAATACAATCTAAAATAATACGAAAAGACTAGTAAATGGATAGTTTTTAATGAAAGATTATTATTATTATAGATATGTAACGTCGTACTTTTAGCAAAAGATAAAAACAATCACGTTCTAGACATAGCCGAAAATACTGGTGCGTAGATGACTGGAAACTGCGACGTAGTGGAATGATCCGATGGACTTAAAGAAGAGAAAGAAGCACGATCAGCTTGATAGTTAAACATAATTTATTTTTGAATGACAAATTTCTTAACACATATCTTTATAACTAATAGAAGACTAGGGTTGCTAAACGCGCTTCTTAATTTTATACGAGTATTTGCAATCGCACTTTAAATAATGGCGAAATGCTAACAAAGGCTGAGCGACACGCTGTCAGCAGGCAGGCGAAAGAGAGAGACTTGATATTTTGGTATTTTTCCTGGCATTCAGCAGTATGAATCGTTCCTTCTCTTGCCAATAACCTCAGAGAATCCCGACTAGGCCTGGCATATGATGAAGTCCGAAGATGAGAGTTCTCCATACGAGGTAGAATTGAAGAGGTGACACAAGAAGAAGCCCTTTGCTTAGATGTTTTGAAAGTAACGCATGAGACTGTCATGTGGTGGTGGCGAGTGCGAAACTCCTAACTTGCCAACTACTGTACAAAGTCAAACATACAGGATACAAACAGTAAAAGAAGAATCAAGTAAAAGTCCATTATTTACATTATATACAATAGACAATCAGCTCTTAAAGAGCGGAAATAAATATCTGCAAATTTGCAGGTATATGGGGGCCAGGAGCTATCTAGCCGATCAACGGTAGTTGCAAAGTCCAGAGTTTGAAAAGCCAGAAATAGCATTTTGCACATGAATACTGGAAGAAACGTCCAAAATATAGGAAGTAACCACTCAAAATGTTTATAAAATTCGTTCTCTGTGCTGGTTACATCAGAAGTATTCTATAAAGCATAAAAACAATACTTTTCCGCCGAGTCCAGGGGGTCAATCTATTCTCTCATGGGCCCGCTTGATTTATACAAATGAGATGGACGGCGAAAGGGCGTATGATCCTATCCTCACTCAAAATCTCGTAGTTAAGAATTTCGGCGAAATTTGCAGGATTATTACTAACCCTTCTAGTAAAAAACTTATCATTAGTTCTAGTTGTAAAATCCTTGATGGATTCTAACTTTAAGTCGGAGTGGAAGCTTCTATTTCTAACGAAGTAAGGCGCACCAGTTATAATTCTCAGAAACTTGTTCTGGACGACGTAAAGTCTCTTGTAGTTTTTTCCATTACCCCAGGCGAGAGAGGCATAAGTCAAAAGCGGCTGGATGGTCGTGTTGTGTAGCAAAATTCATTTAATTATTTTAATTACTGCTTATCAAAATTTAATTTATTAAGTATTCTAAATTTATGCTACACAACCATGTGTTTCAAGTTAATTATTTGTACTGTTTGGTTTAAATTTTAATTGGGATTGTCTGTACGAAAGATTGGTAGCTTCTTTTCACTCGCTATTTCCAAACGCGCTGAAACACACAATGGAATTAGCTAAATTTCCACGTAATAAACTAGTATTTTTGTGACTTAAGTTAAGTTTATCTCTTAATATCTAATATCATTAGAAACAGAAAAATTAGCACTTTAATTTGAAACTACTTTCATAATCGTAGCTTTAACAGATTTTAAGTTATAGCCATTTATTTAACGACAAATATGCAAAACTTTTGTTCTGGGGAAAAGGGGGATGAATTGGGAAAATCAGCACTCTGGTGACAAAAATATCGTGTTTTTGGACTTGGGTTTTGGACAGTTTCCTCTGAGGGAGGTTTATGGTTGCCAGTTTTGATATGCCAGCTGTTTTTAGGCGCGGCCTTGCTTGACGCGTATTTGGCGAGAATCGAATTCTATCTTTAGTTCAACGCTTAAGAAAAAAGTAGAAATTTTGCATGGCTTAAGGCGGGAGTTTTCGGCAACTGGTTTTTTTCACCTTTTCGGGCGGAGGTTTAGCCAAGGTCGCTGTCCCGTCTTATCTAAAACAAAGAATTTCTAAGAGATTCTTTGTCTAAAAGGGGCTGTTTTTCAGGAACTCGCCCTTCTTCGGCTTCTCTGGTATTGCTCTCCTAGCTCTCGTCCGTGGAGGTTGGTTCATCGCTCGCCTCTGCTGCTCGAGGCCCAAGATGTTACCGGACGGCTCATTCTCGTGGCTTACACCTGCGAGACATTTTGCTCTCACCAGACTCCAATAACTGCCATCGAATTCTGTTCTGAAATGTCTTCTGATCTATAACTTCTCCAATAAAAAAAAAAAAAATGAAAGATTAATTTTGTTTTCCTCCTCGAAGGGGTATTTTCCCTTCACACAGAATCCAGCATGCCATTATGCAAAGGAGTAAATGGACGTTGAGGTGTTACTTGCTTAATCTCCATGATGTTTTCAACGTTGTGATCTCATCTAATAGAAATTACTGCCATCCCTGCTTTTGCTTGAAATATGAATTCCAACAGATCCTGATCAAATTTTGACTTTACACCTTCCTTAATGATGATCCATTCTTCCTTCCGGAATCCTGATGAAAATATAGACTTTACACCTTCCTGAATGATGATCTATTCCTCCTTCCGGAATCCTGATGAAATAAGGGAGCTTCAGTAACCTGATTGATTTGATGCAGTTAAGTTCTTGAATTTATTTCAACTTAATTTTATTTGCTATTAAGTCCGAATATTCCTTTATTCTCTAAACATCTTAGACATCTAAAGACATCTATCTTAGACATCTTAGACATCTTCTAAACATCTTAGACATTTTTCTTAAAAGCCTCTGTATTTGTGGTAGAGTTATTCTTGAAGTTGGTTGAAGATAAAATTAAGTAATATTAATTGTTCAGCTAAATTATTATTTGAGTTGCCTTGTAGACCATTTAAATTTTCCTAGGGCTACTTCTTAAGTGAATTTATTTTCTTTTATTATTTTATTGGAAGATTAGTTTGAGAAAACTTATATTGCTAGTAAAATAAAACTTTCTGTAAAAATTTTAGAATATACTGATATAGTACCGCAGTAATGTAAAGTTTACTGGCAAAATTAATTTTGTGCAATATAATATTTTGTATTTTTATCTTTTCCGGTTATTGTAAAATTAATAGTGTAGGAGAAATTTTATTCGGTGCAATATTAATTTGAATTTTTATTCTTTCCGGTTATTGTAAATTAATAGTACTTAGAAAACCATCTTTAGAATGATTTGGTGCTTGTAGAATGTCTGAATTCTAAAATTTTGCACCCGGTATTTCCTAGCTGTATTGTGTTAATCTGAAAATGTTCAACTGATTAAGCATTTTGTTTCAAAATATGAAAGTGTGCATTAATATCCAATGTTAAAAATTATTGTTAAAAGAAAATGTTTATACTGTTGGTTAAAGATAATTGATAATTGGTTTTATCTCCCCTGGGGGGAGGTTTATTTTTTTTAAGTAATAGCCATATATAGATTTAAGATCTAAAACAAATTTGATGAATTACTATTTTGGTTTTAATAAATTTATGTTATTCTTTGGATTAATTAATTGTATGTTTTATTTTATCTTTTTCCATACATTCACCAGTCTACAGATTAGGGTATTTACGGTTTAAAACACAACGCAATGTGAATTATTTAGGTTAGGAAAATTTAATTATTGTGTTTTTGTGTCTTCCTAAAAAGGCGCAGAACAGCCGAGAGAAAGAGTCCTTTCTGAAGAAGGAGAGAAAGTTTCTCACTTTTGAGCAGATGAGGAAACAGCTGAAAGATGATTCTGTATGCTTTTCCAGAACCTGTGCCATATGATCTTTCCATGTAAAGTTATGATTGAGTGTGACTCCAAGATAATTTGCCTTGCTAACTCTTGGGACAGGACGGCCGAAGAGTGTGACCTGAGTCTTGATTTCCGCTCATTTCCGATACTTCCTGATGAGTAGAATCTTGGATTTGGTGGGCTGTATGCTGGTTTTCCAGCGGCTACACCAGTCCTCAATAATTGGAATCTTTTCTTGGAATTTGACCAATGCATGGTCGGGGCAAGGTGACTTACAAACAAGAGCCGTGTCGTCCGCGTAACTGGCCAGGAAAGAGAGAGACTACGCATTTGGTAACTATTTATACTAAGTAAGTGCATGTGTACAGTTAAACTGCGATTGTTGAATTTCAGGTTTTAGTTCCCTTTCGCAAGCAGCGTTATGTAACTTGGAAAGATCTTGAATATGGGAGAAAAGATGAGCTTAGGGGAAGAACATAAAATTTAGAATAGTCAATTTTGAGGTTACCCATAATTTTTTAACAGAGCCATCGTATTGTATTATATCATGCACCTACGTAGTATATGCTTCGCGAGGAACTACGCTTTCCTTTTTTCTTGGCTTCTGCAATGCAAACAACTCTGTGCTATATGCTTGCCTATCTAAAATGCTTACGTCGTACTTTTAAAACCCGTGCACATAAAAATTATTGTGTTCAAATATGATTTAAAAGTAATTTGTCTGCCAAAGAAATAATTTGAAATGTATAAAAATAAAGATGGTCATTCGCCGAAAATAGTTTGTTCAACATCTTATTCATGCCTTCCTCCTCAGCCACGACGACTATCGAAAGTTAAAAGTAACTTCTACGCAGTAAAATATTGCATGTATATGTAAGATAAAAATATGAAAGCAAACTTTCAAATTTAATTCACTATAACCTCTTTTGTTTTTATTTCACATGGGAACTTCATCTCTCTGTCTTAGAAATAGCGCTATAAATCTAAATTGCGACATTCAAAGTAAGCATACGATCTTACATAACCCTTAATGCAGATATCTCTTGCCCAATCAAAATAATTGTAAACCAAAATTTAAAACTGAAACTGTTTGACTCCTTTCCCTCTTCCTCTGCATTACTACTGCGACACTCTTCCCTTTTTCGCTTTTGCTTTCCTCCTGGCCAGACGCTTTGCTGCAATCATCTATGTGCTGCAATGATCGCTCATATCACAATAGTATCAAAATTGTTTTGGAAATTGACACGATTGGAGTGCCAAGTGAACTGTGGCCACAAAATGTGAATTTAAGTAAATATGGAATTTAATTCCGGCTCGACTGCTTATTTTTCATCAAAATTGGTTGGATGCTCTAATCGCTAAGTATATACGCCATCAGTATTTCTACAGTTCTACATCTAACTGTTCATGCTTCACTTCAAAAATGGTGCACTATTATTACACTTTTTTTGGAGCAGTCGTTTTAGAACCGACATGCATGTCTGAAGTGTGTGGAGCTCCCAGTGCAAACTTTATTCAAATAATCTATCATCGTTTAACAAATGGATAAAATAAAAAAAGGAAAGTGTTCATCTGAATTCCCAATCAGGCAAAGGTCACTGTAACATCGAAATATGGTGTATCAACAATTATGAAAGTGATTTAACGGCGTCATCAAAAGTGGTATTGAAGTGTGATTAATTTCTTCGGTTCTAAATTTATTCTTCAAAGTTGTTTCCATCCAGAAAATTAAGTGCCGATATTCCGAAAATGTGTTTTGATGTTACGTGGTAAAAAAGTTTTTGGAGTTTTTTCTCCAACTGCATCATTATAAATAACTTACTCAATAATTGGTTATATTTTGAAATCTGAAAATGAAATGTGGTACTGTGTTATCACAATATGAAATTAAAATGTATAACTATTCTAAGATTTTATTCAGGGAAGATTATTAAATTTTATTGTTATTCGTAAATAAATACAAGTTTTGTCAAAAATTGTGAATTAATGTGAAGAATTTCGAAATTATTTTGTAAATAAGATTATTGTTTAAAAATTCAAATTTTAAAAATTTTCTAATTATTTCGACGGTGCTGTGTATATGAAACTATAAATGAAATAATTATTAAATGGCAGAATATTAAATAGTGTTAAAATTAATATAGAAATACCAAAGATTTAAGAAATTGAATAATGGTAATAAAATTAATATGAGAATTTAATTAAGAGTAAAATGTATTAAAATTTGTTTGGAATTATGGGAAATAAATGTTATAATTATCAATAATTGTATGTTAAATATAAAGTATGTTGAAGGAGTATTAATTCAGAAACAGAGGCCTGTTTTACCCCTGCATAATTGTTCCTTTTACCCTCATGTAATATAAACTTCGAAGGCTCCCACTACATTTAATTTTTATATAAGATTTTTATTTTTTCATAGAATGGAGTGTGATTATTTTTTTAAATATAATGTAATGTTATAATGCAGTTCACAAAGGCCAGTCACCTGATATAAGGAACGGAGGTCTTTCCAAATAACTGGCCAAATAGCTGGATATGTGTGAATGTAGGGTCTTCCAGTTTGTGTAAAATAAGAAAATTGTAAAATGTAATAATAAAAGTAAAAAATATAATTTCAACAATGCTATTACAAATGATAAAGTATTACTTATAAACGTGAAAATTAGTATAGTGTAAAATTTTAATATTTATGATTCTTCCAATTATTGAGTAAGTTATTTATAATGATGCAGTTGGAGGAAAACTCAAAAAACTTTTCCATCACGTAACATCAACACGCAAATTCGGAATATGGGCACTTAATTTTCTGGACAACTTTGAAGAATAAATTTGGAACCGAAGAAATTAATCACACTTCAATACCACATTTGATGACGCCGCAAATCATTTCCATACTTGTTAACGCACTATATTTCGATGTTACAGTGACCTTGGATATATATATATATATATATATATATATATATATATATATGTGTGTGTGTGTGTGTGTGTGTGTGTGTGTGTGTGTGTGTGTGTGTCGTTATGAAGTAAAAGTATGTGCAATAATACATTTACAGATCTATATTATTTAAAGTGGTCTTCTTTTGAGTTACTTCTCGCTTGGCAAACATTATTTCTTGTAAACATCAGCGATTAAAACAGCTTTCCGTTTCAAATAATGTCAAACTATTGTTTTTATATGTCAGGATACCTCAACCAGTGAAAAGACCTTCTCTAAAAGGGGAATTTCATTATCTCAGAGAAGGATTGCTTGACCTCAGACTACCAGACTCAGACCAAGAAGAATTACACTCCCATTTTAAATTCTTTTTGTTTAGACTTTCCATTTCGAAAAATAGCTTAATAACTTGGTTGAAATAAAGAGATCCCAAAAGGGTTGAAAAAGGTAAATTAAACATCATGTTAGCGCAACGAAATCAACTGAAATGTTTCCATATTTATATTTATTAAATTTCATTAAATTTATTGAATTAAATTAAATTCCATATTTACATTGATTTAATACTAATAATTTATGGAAAGTGTATCAAATTGATAATTTACGAAAACTGATAATTTATATAAGTAATTTATACAGAATGTAACGAAATTGATGGTAATAATTTTAAGCATGTGATGGAACATGGTGATGGAACAATTAACAATTTTCTTAATACAATGTGTAGTCAAATATTAAATGTGAACTTGGATATGCAGTACGAAAGTAAAAGCAGGAGAAATGAAAATCGTTTATTAAAACGACTTACATGTTTCACGAGTATTTGAAAGAAATAGCGTTTCATATTTAAAAAATTGTTAAATTGGACGACCAGTAGCTGCAGTATACGCACCACAGCGATGACAGATCTCGATTACAAGATTCTGATTTAC